GGGGCCATTGTAACTTTGAACAAATGATTGTAAGTCTAGACCAGGGGTAGGCAACCCAAAACACTCAAAGAGCCACTTGGACCCGTTTCCCACCGAAAACAAAACACTGGGAGCCGCAAAACCCTTTTGACATCTAAAATGAAGATAACACTGCATATATCTTTTTATCTTTATTATTCATTTTAGATGTCAAAAGGGTCTGTCTCTCCCTCCCTCTCTTTCTGCCCTTGGTCTGCCAGTCCTCTTCCCCCACTCTTCCTTTCTCTCTCTCTCTTCTCTCTCTCTCCCTCTCTCTCTTTCTCTCTCTCTCTCCCCCCCTTTCTCCCTCTGTCCGATCTTCTGCTCACCTGGCAAGCTGGCTTCAAACTGTTCTCCAACAAGCTCAGGGGTAGGCAACCTCGGCTCTTTTATGACTCATGGACTTCAACTCCCAGAATTCCTGAGTCAGCATAGCTGGGCTAGCTAGCTCTCTCCTGTCCTTCCTGCTTCCTGCAGAGACGCAGCAAAGGGAGGAGCCCCGCCCCAAAAGCTTTTCAGCTTGTAGGAGAACACCGTGAGTCCACTCTCTTTTACACACACACACACACACACACACACACACACACAAAACCACACAGAGACACAGAGAGAGACAGAGAGAGAAGCAGGGAAGCGCAAGTGCCTCTCTCTGTCTCTGTCTCTCTCTGCAAATGGCAGAGGAGGCTAGGAGCCACAGGGGAAGGCTCAAAGAGGCGCATGCGGCTCCGGAGCCGCAGGTTGCCGACATGTGGTCTAGAACTACCTGTACTTCCTTAAACGTGGTTGGTTTGGTGGCTCTGTCTTGCATTTTGCCGAACAGGAATAAATGACAATATTCCACGGTTGAGCCAACTTCCACTCATATTTACTCAATGAGAGAATTCAAGTTACACAGATGTTGCTTCCAACGGGCAAGGAAAAAGCAACAATTAGAAGATTAGAGGACTGGTAAGGAGCTTCCAGTTGGGATGATAGTCTCAACAGGCATCCTTGGTACTTTCTCAAGTCGATGAGTCTTTTCTAGCCTATTCTAGATAAGGGCAGAGAATATATAACATTCTAGCAATTATAGCCCTTCTGACATTACATCCGTAATCTCTTCTAATAGGGGAATAGAACTGTGCTGAGTAATCACACATCCGGTGTTAATCTGTGTAGTGGTAGCCAATCTGGTATAAAAATTTCCAAGAATACAGCTTTCACATAACAAGCTATATGTGTGCCTGCATGGAACAACATATTCCATATTATCTAGCCTTTAGAAACACCCTATTCCCACTAAGTTCACCATAAAGCTTGATTGATATGTCGGATATTATGGATGTTGCTGTATAATACAGTTTTGCACACTGGTTAAGGCAACATGCAAAAACAAAGTGCAGGTAGTCCTCGAATTGCAACCACAATTGAGCCCAAAATTTATCTTGCTCAATGAGACATTTGTCAAGTGAGCTTTGCCCCATTTTATGACTTTTCCTGCCACAGTTGTTAAGTGAATCTATGCAGTTGTTAAGTTAGTAACATGGTTGTTAAGTGAATCTGGCTTCCCCATTGACTTTGCTTGTTAGATCGCAAAAGGGATCACACAACCCCAGGACACTGCAACCGTCATAAATACAAGTCAGTTTCCAAGCATCTAAATTTTGATCACATGACCATGGGGATGCCGCAACAGTCGTAAGTGTGAAAAACGGTCATGTCACTTTTTTCAGTGCGGTTGTAACATTGAACGATCACTAAACAAACTGTTGTTAAGTCAAGGACTTCCTGTATCTGAACAGGAGTACAATTTATTTCTGTCAGAAGGAGTGTCTCGTCCTGCTTAGATATAATGGCTCTTGAAATTTAAAGCACTGGCTGACCAGAGAGATGGGTATCTGTCAACCGAGATAAGTCAGGTCAAGAAACAAACACAATATATAATAGAACTTCAGTCTATTGATATCAGCTATAATAACATCTTGATTGGGTTTTCCCTTCCTTCCGTCTTATATGAAAAGGTATCAATGCAGGGCAATTTTTGGTTTCTTTCTCAAGCTCTTTTGCTTTCTCAGGCTAAGCTCACATTTTACTAACAGCTGCTGCTTATTTTCTCCAAAGTGATTTCTATGCTCTCTTGCACCACCCTATGTGCTACCTTACCTCAAAAATGCCCACTTTACAATACATATCTTTTTGAAAGTGCATTTTTCGTAATAAAGGGACGTTTCATTCTAAAAGTTTCTTTTCACGTTTTTCTTTGCACAATGTAATCTCTGCCTTTTCCTGCAATAAAACAAACATTGCCACTTGTGCCTCCTGAGATAAGGTCCCTTGATATATCTTTAAATGATGTAATTGGGAACCTGAAAATAAAGATGAACAGCTCAGAAATCATATGGATGATTGCAAAAATAAACATACGTTACATTTAAAAAAACAAAACAAAAACTGAAGCTTAGAATAACAAGTTTGCTTGATGGAAACGTGAATTTCTTTGATCCTGGTGTCCAAGGATTATATATTTGCATTAGTAAAGGTCTAATTTGCCAACATAACCTAAGAAAACATGTTAAACTATGATTTAACCATAGTGGCCTAGTTCGTACTAAAATATTTATTTTACAAAAAATTAAGATTTGTTTAGATTTTATAAGATTGCTCAATCTTGCAAAATTCTGACAGTTAAATAAAACATTACATAGTGGCCTGAGCACTAAAATATTTATTTTACAAAAAATTAAGATTTGTTTAGATTTCATAAGATTGCTCAATCTTGCAAAATTCTGACAGTTCTCCAATGTTCCCATTTGGATTTTTCAGAAATTAAAAAAGTGGGAATTTGAGAAAACCATCAAAACAACAAAAGGAAACCAGGCCACATTATTAAAGGAATCCCCAAATAACAATTAATTGCAGGGCCTTGGGGAACTGCACTAGAGCCCAAGTTCTTCCACAATTTAATTGTAGAGAAAATGGACAAATTACTGAAACCTGCTTGATTGATGGGGGAGGTGTTGCCTTGTCCAAAATTTACTTAACTGTGTTTTGGGTGCTGCAGCAGTCACAACTCTGAAGTCCAGAGAAATGAAGTAGTAATTCTGCTCTGTGGAGACCTCTGTGGTGGCTAGCTGCCCTGCTCTACAAGTGTAGCTGATCATCAGCACCTTGAATTATATGTAAGTCTCTTCCTGAGCTTCTCTATCTGGTGTCAAGATTTACATATAATTCAAGGTGCTGATGATATAAGGCAGGGATCCCCAATCCCCAGTCCATGGACGGGTACTGGTCTGCAGCATGCCAGAAATCGGTGCTTGCAAACAAGTGAAGCCCCATCTGTGGGATGCAGGCAGCACATGAAATGCCCCCTTTGGTCTGCTGAAAAACCTCTCTCCATGGAACCAGTCCTTGGTGCCCAAAAGGTTGGGGGGGGCACTGATATAAGGTTTTAGCTTATTTGAGGGATCATCTGTCTTGCATTATGTCTGCCCATGCTGTTTGTTCTAACAAAGTCAGATTGCTCTGGGTCCCATCAATTAAACAATATAATGTAGCGGGAACCAGGAAGCAAGCTGTCTGTTATTGCACCTATTCTTTGCAACAGTATTTCCATCAAGATCTTAATGGAATCTTCCTTTTTTTTCTCTAAACCATTTTCCCCATGCATATATTTTGAGTGGGCATCTTTTAGCTGGGGGATAATGTTCAAATATGATATGTTATTCCACCAGATGATTATATTTGTATATTCCTGTGTTCATTTTGCATATAACCTTGTTTCCTTTTCACTTTATAAAGCTAGCCACAGCCATTTTGGAATTGGGTAGGCAATACTTTCACAGATAATAAGACTCATAGGGTTTCCAACAGGCACTGGTGAGCTTTCCTGAAATCTGGCAGAAATTTCCACTACACAATCATTTCCAAAGGTTAATTCCTGAAATCTGAGAGATATTTTAGGCAGGCAGAGAAAAATTTGATTCTTACAGAATCACAGAATGAAAGAGTTGGAAGGGATCTCAGAGCTTTTCTGAGAAAAATCACCAGCAAATTTCTACAATAGTGTTATAAGAGAACATAGTTTCACTACAGGAATTGTAATTTTAGGTTAATGTCAGTAAGATTTTAATATATGTTAATATTAATTTTTTAAACAGATCCAAAGAAAGGAGGAGTGTTGGTTTAAAGATTAAAGGTGCATTAACTTTTTTAAAAAAAACTGTGTATACTGTCAAACCGAAGATTTACAGAAAGGAGAGAGCAATGACGTCCTTAAAAGATTTTATTGCAATATGCCTTGACATTAATTTATTAATCTGCGTTTTAAAAGGTCAAAACAAATATTCATTTGTGGCTTTACCTATTTATTATTGTACCCTTATAACCGCACTATTATCCATCTTAATGAAAAGCAATATAAAATATTGCTAAGTCAAAGATACACAGTATCATTACACAACACGCTTAATCACGTCAGTTAAAGACGTAGTAGTGTCGTGTGCGCAACCTATAACTCATCTTGGATAGTTTTAATCATGTTGTTTGTTTTTCTTCCGCGTGTTGCACAAAACTAGCCCGTGGGATTAGTTTGTAGTTTTTAATGCATTATGCAAATCGAGAAAACGGGTTGTCACTGACCAGCTTGAGCGCGTTGTAAAAACACAACGTCGTTGCTTTTTCACAAGTTCCCTTAGAAGACGGCAGGAATGCCGCAAACCAGCGTTACAAAAGAAATCCCCGAATCACGAGAAGCTTCTCGCGCACGAAGCGATTCCAAAGAAGGGCAAGCTGGAACCGGAAGTCCGACTCGCAAGAAGGCATTCGGGAAGAAAGGCTCGTAGCCCAAAACAACCATGGCGGCGACGGCGACCGTTTCCCTCATCCCCGCCCACACGAGAGGGGCGGCGAAACAAGGAAGGGAGCGGGCGGTTTTGAAGCCGCCCGCGAGCAGCTGCCCCCCCCCCCGCGGCCAGGCAGGCGAGCTCAGCGCCGGCGGTGAAGCCATGAGCCGCAACGGCGGCGAGGCGCTAGGGAAGCTCCTGAGGGCGCAGGCCTTCCGCTTGCCCGGCCGCCACGGTTACGCAGTCGAGTTTTCGCCGTACCTGCCGGGGCGTTTGGCCTGCGCTACCTCGCAGTACTACGGGATTGCAGGTGAAACGGCAGCAGGTGGCGCGTGCGCAGTGACGGCAGCAACAGCAGCAGCAGCAATCCCCCTACCTAAGCGCTTTTTGCTACCTAGATTCTTTGGTCGCGTCCAAAGGGCGGTTGGAGAGGATGATAGGTTGTGTGGAGCAGACTTGTCCTGTAAAAGACAGGGCTACTATAGGCTCCAGTCTGCGTACGTGTTTGAGGCGCTTCGTTTGGATAGAAGCCACTGCCCCTTTCCTGGCCATTCTTAAGTTTCATGGGATTTACTTCCTAGATTGCAATACTAGGTTTTTGCAGCTTAGATTGCATTTTGCAGCTTAGATTGCATTGCATTTGCAGCTTAGATTGCAATACTAGGTTTTTGCAGCTTAGATCAGCTGAGATCAGCTCAGCTGATAAAAATTTACCTGGAACAGGAATGCATACATGCCCTTGGTGAGCTAAAATTACAGTAACTGGGAGTCTTCAGGTGTGATGATGCACACTTTTTAGGACGGTATTTTTAATAGATTAGCTCAGAGATCACGAAAAATCGGGGGAAGGGCTTGTGAAAAAGCCATGATAAGTGCGGTACACAATCCTCCCGTGGGAATGCTGAGGCTTTCGTGGGCGTGTGCTTTTAGGTTACACCCAGTCGGAATGAAGAAGCTCCCAAGAAAAAAAAAATGTTCCCTTCTTTTAAAGCAGAAATAAAGCAGATTTTGACACATGTTCAGTGGAAAAACGTCAGCTAAAGCCCACATGCATCCTAAACAAATGCATGGTTCGTTATAGTATTGTGGCTGGTAATTTTTTTATGTCTGATGTGATTGAGGAAATTGATTAGCAACATAAATTTTGGGCTCAATTGTCAAAAGTTGAGGACTACCTGTATGTCTCTTTGCAAATCTAGTATCGAAAATGTTCTTTGCCTTATAGTCTAATTATGTTTGGTACTACAGCTAGGCCTCGACTTAACCACAATTGAACCCAACATTTCTGTACCTAAGCGAGACAGTAGTTAAGTGAGTTTTGCCCCATTTTATGATCTTTCTTGCCACAATTGTTAAGTGAATCACTACAGTAGTAACATGGTTGTTAAGTGAATCTGGCTGTCCCACTGACTTGTCACAAGGTCGCAAAAGGCAATCCCATGATCTTGGGACACTGCAACCATCATAAATATGAGTCGTTTGCCAAGTGTCTGAATTTTGATCACGTGAACATGGAGATGGTGCAGCAGTCATAAGTGTGAAAAATGACAAGTCACTTTTTTCAGTTCCGTAGTAACTCCGAATGGTCACTAAATGAATGGTTGTAAATTGAGCATCTGTATTGCACCTGGAAGTGAACTTCCGAAGATAACAAAAATGCCTTAGGAAAGAAGCATTCCCACATGCTGTGATATTTGAATGGTGTGCTTGAGGTTGCAATCCAAAAGGCGCACAGTACAAGGATGAAAAGAAAGAAAATCATTTTTATTGAATTAAAATTAAATTAAATGGAGTTAATATGGCAGTTCCCTATCATACATTTAATCATTTTCTCCCAGTGATGGTGACAACATTTGAATAAGTTCTGGAGTTACAGGTGAAACATTTGGGTTTGCATGCAACTATGGAGTCTTAGGTTGCATTTCCGTTTTACATAGGGAATAAGTATACAATTATTCAGTATAGTTACACAGTTTATGATAGTCATTAAATCTATATGCCACTCCTTTAGCCCAGGACCTTGCAGACCAGATACTGCAAGAATTCCAGATATGCTACTTTATTGTTGTGGGTTATAAAACAGAATCTTGAAAGTCTATCAGTTTCCCTCTACCTTCTTTTGCACAAAATAAAATCAAAGCGGACTTATTTTGAGTTTCTTTCTTTCTCATTCTGTCCATTTTTCCAGGATTCATTTGCTGTTTCTTTTACCTTAACTGTTCAGCATTCCTTCCATAAGGTCATCTCTACATTATTTAAAACTATATCTGAAGTTAATTGTGACCATTATGTTTTTGTACCTGAAGTCAAAAAATAATCTTTTTGAAATATTTATTTGAAAATGCTTCTTCCTTCCTTTTCCCCTCACAAACTTTCAAAATGGTTTTTGAAATGTCTAACTTTGAAGGCTGTAAAAGGTAATACTGATTCTGCTTAACAATCCATGCTATAGAGATATATTTTTATATGTAGTCTCTGGAGACTTATTAACTGTAAAAATCATCCAAGCGTAGCATTAAGTATCAATGTATCCTGTTCAACTTTTGGAAAAAGAAGATGGTAGAGCAGAAGTCCCCAACCCTTTGGACGCCAAGGACCAGCTCCGTGGAGAGAGGTTTTTCCACGGACTGGAGGGTGCGTGGTTTTGTGTGCTGTCTGCATCTCGCGGATGGAGCTTTGCTTGTTTGTACGGCCCGGTTGCTGGCATGCTGCGGCCCGGTACTGGTCCACGGACCGGGGGTTGGGGACCCCTGTGGTAGAGCACATAATTTGCATATAATAGGACCCAGCTTCAGTTAAAAGAATTAAAAACTGAGTGATGAAAGCCTCTCATACCCTAGAAAAGCACTGCCAGAGTAGCAATTCTATGTTAAGTAGATATAATTTGACAAGGCTATAAGGTAGGCTTCAGTGTTTTCTGAAAGGGATTCCCAAAGTTCAGCAGTTTTCAAGAATCTTACTCTAATTTAGTTCATATTATACTATATAGACCATTGTTTTCAGTGCTTTTTATTGTCTTCAATTTTAGGTTGTGGAACTCTAGTAGTGTTGGAACAAAATGAAGCTGGACTTCATCTTTTCAGGAGGTATTTTGTTTTTTCATAATAAAAGTAATTATTGCATAATCTTGTGTTTTGGGAATTAGATATTCTGATGTAGTTTTATAAAACTGTAACTGTATCAAATGCATTTATACTGCTAAATTCTTGTGTGTTGATTTAATAGAATAGTATTGAATAAAAAAGGGGCTGAAAGGATTATTGACAATAGAACAGTTCAGAATCCTTTAAAGCAGCGGTTCTCAACCTATGGGTCGCGACCCCATTTGGGGTCGATCGACCATTTCACGGGGGTCGCCAAGCAAGGCTGTCCGCCATTTATTTTCCCTTTTCTGGCGGGTGCCTTACCTCCCTTGAGCTGGGCTAGCTGGTGGTCGGCCTGCTCCGTCTCTGCCACTTGCCAGCTACGCCTCGGCCAGTGCAGTGGGCGGAACCACGCATGTGCGGCGCTCCCGAGCAGGGAAAGTCCTCGACTTACGACCGGTTGGGTAGTCCTCGACTTACGAACGGTTTAGTCCTCGACTTACGAACGGTTTAGTCCTCGACTTATGACCGGTTTAGTCCTCGACTTACAACCGGTTGGGGGTCGCGGCATTAAAAAGGTTGAGAACCACTGCTTTAAAGCCTCAAGAAGCCTTTAGGAAGTAAGGACAACTAGAAATTTTTTTAGATGCAACACATATTTATGTCTACTAAATTTTATTCAGTTTAATAGCTTACCGCAGTCTTGGAAAAGGTTTACTCCATTTTTGTTATGCACCAAAATATTCAAGTTTTTGTAAAGGGTATTGCCAGCTCCAAATTTTGTCTCAAACCCCGAAGATGAACAGTCCAATTCGTCTTGAGACCCAAATATGAATCTTAATTCTGCAATCCTCATGTCTTTTTTTATTTGTTTATTTTACAGAAATTTCTTTATAGGAGAAAACTCTTTCTATAAAACAAAATTACTTCAACAGGGAAGAGGAGGGAATGTAGTTTTCTTCTAGTTTTCCAAGGACTTTCTGATTACAGCATATTGTTTTGATGAAATGCATTGCAAAACAATGTTGGGGATGGAAGGGGGTGAGAATTTTTTTTATTATTCTACAATTTTTCTCTTCCATCGACAAAGACAGTAAACACCAATTCAAACCTTTGAAAGTACAATATTACTTGCTGATTTAGAAATACTGGAAATGTCTTTCTCTTTTCTCTACTGTATAGGGGTTAACAGATTTTTGGTTTTAAATGGCTTTCATTTTCTGTTACTTGCATTTATCCTTTCTTGTAGAGGGATGTTTATAGCACACACATACCCCCAAACCATAAAACAAAAGTCAACTGCAGAGCGAAAAAGGAAATTGAACCACTTCCTCACTTTCCAAATTTGAAGACTCTCCTTTCATAAAAACATTGCATTATGAAACTTGCCTACACTGATTCCACAAAAAGGAAAAACAACCTTACAACATTAAATTCTACCAAAAATAAAAGTTGTCAGCAATTACTTTAAAGAAAACTACCTTCAATTCCCTGGATCTGTTATGGTTAGTAGTGACAGGGACATGTAAAACTCCTTCAGTGGAGTTTAGGGGATTTCAGTGTCAGTGTTCTTCTGTTAATAAGGGCGTCAGGTGTGTCAAGTGAGAGTCTTGTGATGGGTCAGGTGTGAGTCATCAGTGAGAGGCTTATGATGGGTCTTGTGATGGGGAGCTTACATCAGGTCAAGGTCATTGGGAGGTGAACTGCAGGTGGAGGGGATGGGGGGCTTGTGTCAGTTGGTTGAGGATCGGTGCTGTCTCTGGTTGGCTGTGTGGTTGATTTGGATTCTGAGGGGTTCGTAGGCTGGTTGTAGGTCAGTGTCTGTTGATGGAATTGCTTATGGAATGCCAGGCTTTGATGAACTCACAACCATGGCGGTGGTAGCGTGGCCGATGATTTTAGTGTTGCTCCAATCGATGTCGGTGTGAGTAGAGATTAAGGATTTGGATTGTGGCATTTGACTGCCAGCTGGTGTTCATGGAGCCTGTTTTTTTAATTGATGTGATGTTTGTCTTATAGAATTTGTTGCAATTGTTACAGTTGACTATATAGATTACATTGTTTCTTTCATCCATAATTCTTGACAGAGTGTGGCTGTGGGTTTATGGGCTATTGCTATTCCTAGGGGTTGGGGAATTCTGGCTGTCATTTCCGGCACCCCTTTTATGTATGGTAGAGTTAGTTTTTGCGTAGTCAGCTGTGCAATGTGTTGTGCTGTGTGTCAGAATACGAAGTGTTTTGGATAGTTATGGAGTTATGGAGAAAGATGTCCAGCAGTTGTTTCTCTTCTGCTTTTCTTAGTGTTGTGGTGCTGCAGTGTGTCCTGGCCCTTTTGAAGAGGGTCTGGACACAGCTTCTTTTGTGTGCGGTGGTGTGGTTGTTTGCAAAGCTGAGGATCTGGTCCATGTGTGTGGGTTTGCGGTAGATGCAGGTTTCCAGTTCTCTGTTATCTAGTCTTATATTAATATTGAGGAATGGGAGTCTTGTATGTTTCTTCTTCACGTATAAATTTGATCCCAGGGAATATGTTATTAGGTAGGGAGCGTTTGATGATGATGAAGGTGTTATCAACGTAGTGTGTCCAGAATTTTGGTTGGATGGTGGTTAGAGCTATGGATTTGAGTCTTTGCATGACTGCTTCTGCTAATTAGGCCTGATATGGGTGATCCCACCAGGGTACCTTGTACTTGCTTGTACATTTTCCCGTTGAACTTGAAATATGTGTTGAGGCATAGATCCAGGAATTTCACGTTGGTTTCTGTGGACATGGAGTGTTCTGTAGTGGCATCATCTTTGTGGGTTTGGTGTTTAGTGAGTAGGTGATGTATGGCCTTGTTTAGCCAGGTCGATGTCAGTCGAGGTGAAGAGAGCAGTGATGTCGAACAAGACCATAATTTCTTCCTTGTTGATCTTGGTGTGTTTGATGCATTGGAGAAATTGTTCTGCGGAGTTTATTGAGTGGGTTGAATCGTCAACCAGGATCCACAAACACTGTCTGGCAGTCATACCCCATGATCCCAAATCCTTAATCTCTACTCACATCAACACCAAACAGCACCAGTTCGATTGGAACAACACAAAAATCATTGGCCACGCTACCACCCACCACGCTCATGAGTTCATCGAAGCTTGGCATTCCACAAGCAATTCCATCAACAGACACATTGACCTACAACCAGCCTATGAACCTCTCAGAATCCAAATCAACCACACAGTCAACCAGAGACAGCACCGAGTGTCAACCAACCCATGCAACCCCCCTCCCCTCCACCTGCAGTTCACCTCCCAATGACCTTGACCTGATGTAACCTACCCATCACAAGACCCATCACAAGCCTCTCACTGATGACTCACACCTGACCCATTCATAAGACCCATCACAAGACCATCATTTGACACACCCACAACACTAATTCTGCTGAAGATGTTACCTAGCCTGGTAACAAAACGTTTGGAAGCCAACCTACAAGCTCAAAGAACGAACCTTCATTCTCATCCTACACACGAACTACAGATATTTGCCACTATTGCAGACATGTAAAACATGTAATGAAGAGATGTTCTCTTCATTAAAAGTGTGAAGGGAGTTTTCCATCAAGTAATCTATAAGTAAAACAGCTAACAACTGGTAGGACATTTCTAACTACAGATCCATAACTTATTTGCCAACAACATACAAGGTACTACTACTACTACTACTACTACTACTACTACTACTACTACTAATAATAATAATAATAATAATAATAATAATAATAATAAAGTTGGAAGGGACCTTGGAGGTCATCTAGTCCAACCTCCTGCTCAGGCAGGAAACCCTATACCATTTCAGACAAATGGCTGTCCAGTCTCTTCTTAAAAACTTTCAGTGTTGGAGCATTCACCGCTTCTGGAGGCAGGTTGTTCCACTGATTAATTGTTCTAACTGTCAGGAAGTTTCTCCTTAGTTCTAGGTTGCTTCTCTCCTTGATTAGTTTCCATCCGTTGCTTCTTGTCCTGCCTTCAGGCGCCTTGGAAAATAGCTTGACTCCCTCTTCTTTGTGGCAGCCCCTTATGGGCATAATTACAGACCAAATCTTTTTTTGAAGTTTTATTAAGGTTCATTATAGCATAAAATACAGTGAAAATAAAGATTAAGAAAAGGAAGAAAAGGACTATAAAAAAGGTACTGTATTCACTTCCAACTCTTTTTCCAATATAGTAAAATTCTAATATGACCTCAGCTTTTTACATTACCTATAATTATTACAAGCCAATTATATAAATCTTCCAACTAAATTTTAATTTAGCAATATCCCAATAGAAATAAGACCAAATAAAATCTCTTTGTTTAAAATAATTTATGTTGCCATCTTAACAAAATATTTTTTTCTTTTTCTCCCTCTTCTAGGAAGTGATAACTATATTTATTAATCTTTCTAAACTATCATCAATTATATTAACAAAACTCACCTCATTCTTTCAAATTCTTTAATTATTTAATCTTAAAGGGAAAAATTCTTTTATATTATTTTTAAAACTCTAAACATTTTTCTAAAAAAATTGTCTTTATAACTAAAATCAATTCTAATGCATCTTTTTAAACTCTCTTAACATACAGTATATATTTTCAAATTCACTTTCAGTAATATTTTTGCAAAATTTAGGAATTACTCAAGCATTATATATAAAAGAAAAAAAAGAATAACCCCTTTTCAGATCCATTTTATAAGCACAAAATAATGCATTGAATTTTCTTTTAATTACCTGCTGCATCAAACCAATAGAAAATCCATCCTAACTTCAATTAGCTTATTAAATTTCCTTCCAGCTTGTTCCCATAAAGTATAACTTGAGTAGACTAGAAAAAGGCATTTGATTCTGTTTCACATAGCTGGATTGAGAAATATCTCAAAATTTTTGGAGTCAGTACAACATTTAACAATATATGAATAATTCAATAAAGTTTTGGTGATCAAAGTTGATCGCTAATGGAGAAGAATTAGAAGTTTAAATCAAATCAAATTTTCCAAGGTGATTCATTATCACCTTTACTCTATATACTATCAATGGCCCCACTGACAATAAGCTTGAAAAAAATAAACTGTGGATATGAACTTCATGAAAGTTAGATCTATTTGTTTCTAGTAAACTAATTTTTAAAATGCTGAATGTTAAAAGCGTGACATCAATCCCATCTCCCAATACATTCTTTGTTTAAACAAGAAGCTCATAGTGGAATCTGTGAGGGTTCCTGTCTTTTCACAATTTCTCTATAAGATGAGTTAAACTGAGTGTAGTTCAGTGAAATGTTATGACTTGCTAAAAATTTCATTCCAGGTTCTCCCCAGGCCCACATAATTTTTTTTGGTAAGATGTAAATTTTTGGTTTGAGATTGTATCTTTAAATAGTACCCAGTTATATTACATGCTATATTCTTGTCATAAATTAATATATTCACTTTTGGTTTAGTTTTGACTGGAATGATGGTCTATTTGATGTGACGTGGAGTGAAAAGAATGAACACGTGCTGGTCACCTCTAGTGGAGATGGATCTTTACAAATCTGGGATACAGAAAAACCTGCAGGTCCTTTGCAGGTCTATAAAGAACACACTCAAGAGGTATAATTAAATATAGTCACTTTTCTCTAGAAAAAGATAGACCAGTGGTGGTGAACCTATGGCACACATGCTGGAGGTGGCACTCAGAGCCCTCTCTGTGGGCACATGTGCCGTCACCCTAGCCCCGCCTTCCCCCGCGGCCCCTTCCTCACCAGCAGCCCCTTGGAGGAGAGTCACCCCTGGGTGCAGCCCGCGCAGAGCAGCACAGCCAAGAACATGGCAGCCAGGCAGTGGAGACAAGATTCCGCCCTCGCGCCCTGTCACACGCAGATACTGCTGCAGGGCGTGGGCGAAGGGCGTGGCTGCCATGGTGCTGCTGGCGGGCTGTGGAGGCAGTGGGTGGCCCTGCGGGCGGGCAGGGCAAGGCGGGGGCAGGCAGGGGGTGGGGTGGTGCGGGTTTTGGGCACTCGGTCTCTAAATAGACTCTTCAAAAAGGAACCCTTTGTTGCTTAATAAAAATAGTAATTGAAGTTTAAAAATACCAGAATTTTCTTTCACTTCTATGAATTGTGATTGGATAATCCCTCTGATTTATCCTGCTATTGCTTTTGTAAGTTTCTTCTCTTTATCTTTTCTTTATAAAAATGTTATTAAAATGTTTTTTAAAAAAGAAATAAACTTTGGAGAAAATGACATTTTGAAAATATATAATAACTAACAAGCAGAATTTCCGTTGGAAATTGCAATGTTCTGTCCAGCAATATATTATCCTTACAAATCTTGCATCCCTTTTTGAATAGCAATTTTGCATCATTGAAATCAATGGAAATTATTTTTGAGTATTATGTAACATAATGATTCTGTTAGTTCTATTGGGGAAAAATGGAAAGATTTTTTATTATTATTTTTTTAAGTGTTACAGTAACTATAGAAACACTACAAAGGTTGTGTTATCTAAAATTACGCTATTTTTTTCTTTTTCCAGGAAGATTGTGGTATTTTTATATTGTATGAACTTCTGCCATATAAAGCAAGTTCTTTATTGGCTTTCCTACACACACCTTTCTCTACTCTGCAGAATATATAGGTTTATCACTTTGTAGAACTGTACTGATTGCCCCAAGATTAATAAGAGAAACTAATGTAAAAATGTATTCATTGTCTTTGTGGCAAAGTTAGAATCTTAAAATAGCCAAAATTTGGAGCAATCCAAATATACCTTCTCTAGGGGGTTTGCAAAATGTTTTGAGATCAATTATTCTAACAAATGTTTTGAGACCAATTATTCTAATTTCATAATTTTCATAATTTTAAGGGTAGACGACTATTGGTAAGATTGGAATACAGTAGTTCAGGGATCTTCAAACTCGGCCCTTTTATGACTCATGGACTTCAACTCCCAGAATTCCTCAGCCAGCGTGGGAGTTGAAGTCCATGAGTCATAAAAGGGCCGAGTTTGAAGACCCCTGGAATAGTTGTTTCTACCGTACACTGGAATATCTTTTGTCACTTCTTCGTGGTATCCATAGCAGAACATCCAGATTCAACCATAGTTTCATTCCATACAACATTAACCTTGTGAACTCTCAAGCTTCCTCCTTCCGTTATATATTCAAGATGGACAGTATTTAATATTTAGTTGTTATGTATATGTAGGGGGGTGGGTCTATACATAGGTTGTATATAGTATGTGTATCATGTATGTGTTTCACTTTGAGAGCAGGCAACTAAATTTCATTTTTGATGTGTGCCATTGTGCCCACAGTAAGAAAATGACAATAAAGGTTATCTTACCTTACCTTACCTTATCTCTCTGTGATAGAAGTAGGGCATTTCAAAATCCAGTTGAATTAGCCTCAAGCTTTTCATACAATTTCTTGCCTTCTGTTTTCTTATTTTATAGGTTACACATTTTATTATGTAAAAAATTCAAAGGCCTCTCTGTGGGATTTTCTCCACGTGGCAGCTTTTTGTTTCTACCAGCACCAATTGTCCACTAATGAGTGAAACAGGCTTAACATCCTCAACTGATAAAGTATTTTTTCCCCTTTTATTTGGATATCATTTGAATCCTCATTACAGCCTCAAGGCCTTTAAAATTTGTTAGGCATTGTCATCCAGTGCCTTTGAAGAAAGTCTGTTGACATGAAACAAAAGCAATAGAAGCAGGAAACAGATCGGGTGTGATAATCAAAGACATGGAGAGAGGGTTAGCAGAGATTGATTTTAACCATTGTCCTGTGCTAGTGATTGCCTCAACTGATTCAGAGAGCAGTTTGGGGTAGCCTAACTTACCTTCTTCTAAGGAGTTATTGTCAGATGAGGCCACTTTCTCCATCAGGGAAAGTGCATAGTAGTAGGAAAGTGTGCAAGGAATGAACAAGCATGAGCCAAGTGCAGCTCTTCATATGGCATGTACAGTTGTACACTCTTCTTTAGGAGAAAGTATGTGTTGAAGAAATCAGCCTAAAAGGGTAAGGAAGGTAGCAGTGGTTGGGAGAAGAAGCTTTTGGGCAGTATGATGTGTTTTTGAGTGAAGGGTTGGTTTTTGCCTGGATTGACTAGAAGTTTCCCATTCTAGTGTTAAAGATACACACACACATACACTTTTGAGTCAGTGTGATTCTTGACAATTGCCTGGGGAAGTTCCTTCAGGTTTCTTGTAAGGCTTTTCGCAAATGGGCTGAAAAGAGAACGACTGGCTCAAAGTCATCCACCTAGCTTTAGTGCCAGATATAGTTGCAAAAGAAATTATTTGAAGAATTAATGTATTTTTCCAGACATGACTGGCTGCTTCATAAGCTGCTTCCAGTTGTTCTGACGTGCCTGTACATGGGCAAAATACTTTATTTTGCAAGAAAAAAGGCAGAGAAGAAATTTCTCTGGGCTTTTTGGCTCACCTAATCAAAAGCAGCAGTTAGTTGATGCAGATAAAACTTAAAATAAGCAATATATTAAACATTATTTTAAGTTGCTGGTATTTGGAGCGATTCCTGTCTTATGGTGACCATGTTAAACAGAAGTCATATATTCTGCAGGAGTATTTTGTTGCAACCCGTCAGGGTTAGCTCTTCTCAAGAGGAGGTTCACAAGCAGTGAGTGCCATCAGGCTTTTGCTATATTAGTCTTTTGAGAAATATGTTCAGTTGCTGAAAATTAAATATTCTGACTCTTCTACAACATTAGAAGTTTTGTTTTGTAGCAATAGTTCATTAATTGATTAATCTTATGATGGTATCTAAGAAAATAAAATAAAATAAAGGTAAAAAAACAGAATCTAGTCCCAGGGTAAAAGAATATTGTTTTGTTTTGGGCAGCCTAGTTAATTGATAAAATAGTCTGACCATCCTTTGAAAATAGTCTGGCACATAGTGTTTCAGTATCAGTCTTTGAACAATATATTTAAAGAACTGTTAATACTGATACACCATACTAGAATTAATTGGATCATGTCAGGAAGCTGCATTTATCTTTTAGCAAATTTAAAAATAGCCCTTGGGCTTGCGTAATTTTTCCATGCTACACCAATTGTAGATGAGTATCTGAACTGGGATATTTGCAGTGGTAACCTAGTTTTTATAACAGGGGCTGTGGTTTTCTCCTGGAGATTATCTTCTGTGCACAGTGGATGCAGTACTAGAAAAATAGAAAAGAAATGTGCGAATCTAAGAATAGCTGGGCAGAAAATAAGAGTGAGCAGTGTTTTGATCAATGCTTTTAAAAACTATAATTGAGGAAGTAGCAAGCAATAAAATGGATCCATTCTTCTGAGCAAAAAAAATTCTTGAAATCTTATCGAAAACCACAATTGAGTGGTCTTAATTTTCTATCTTAGGAAGAAAAGGTAAAGATTACAGTTATTACATTACAATAAATAAAAGGATGTACCAACCAGCCATACACACATTGTATACACAAACACACAACCACATACATATCTATGTATGTATATACAAGTATATTTTAGTATAAATGGACATGCGTGCATAAACATTCTCATGTGTCACAATCTAACAAATTGTTGGGTACCTTCACAAATTGTTGATTATTAATATGCATGTATATTAAAAGAGAAACATTTTATTTTGAGTTGTAGATTTTCATTTTTCAGTCTTGAACCTTGATATATAGTGTATATTTCTCTTACGCAGTATATCCAGTATATTCTTTCAGTAGCAGGACAGGAAATACGCTCTAATTATGGCTTATCCAATGTGTGCTAGCAAGCTAAAGTGTATCTAATATTTACAGGTCTATAGTGTTGACTGGAGTCAGACCAGAGGAGATCAGTTAATAGTATCTGGATCATGGGATCAAACAGCAAAATTGGTATGTGTGTACTGCAGGTTACTTAAATTGCATATTGGTTTAACATTCTAAAATAATATTCTCAGCATGTTTTCTGTTCTTTTCTTTAACTGATAACGACTTGCTTTCTTTGGTTTAAATTAATATTGGTTAAAAAAATGAGAATGAAAGTGAGATCTAGTTTTTTTGTAATTACACTATTTAATGAATTAACTGATCAAGTGGGAAGAGACACGAGATATATTTCTTTACATAACAAAACTGCAAATTGAGCAAGACTTGCATATGTGATTGTTCTTTAAATTATTAATCCAGGGCAGTTGATAGTTGAAAGTACGGACCTTGATTTATGACTAGTTGCTTAGTGACCATTCAGAGTTGTAATTGACGCTGAAAAAGCTACTTGCAACCCAGATTTGAAGTTCTGATGGTCATCCCCTCATCACATGTCTACATTTCTGAGTGTTTCCAAATCTGTTCATTTCTATTTCTTTCAGAGAGAGAGAGAGAGAAAGAGAGAGAGAGAGATGCTTCCCAATTTTTAAAAGGAAAAGCAAACTCAAACCAAAAATTTAAAATCTTCTATTGAAAGTGTTAAAACTATAGTTTTTGCAACTCAGTCTGGGAAAGTGATCGTTGGACTAGTCTTATATATGATGATATTAACATGCAAGCATCTAAATCTAGCCAAAGAAGGCGCTAATGTTCAGAAAGGCATAAATTAAAGCTGTTTTAGAGATACACATTTTGGCAAATTTTAGACGTGCATTTTTACACTGGGAAATATCTCTGTGGGAAAGCAATACATTTGTTTCATGACAATAATTGCTTGTACTTTGTTTGCTTGTTTTAAAAGATAAGGTCGCTCTCCAAAGTAGGAGCTATATCCTGAAAGTAGGTGTACCAATTATCCTTTATTTGTTTACATTTTGTCTAGTGGGATCCTGAAGTGGGACGGCCATTGTGCACATTCAAAGGCCACGAAGGTGTCATTTATAGCACCATATGGTCTCCACATGTCCCCGGCTGCTTTGCCTCTACCTCAGGTAAAAGCTGCAATTTCTATTTATTTGTAGTAGGAGCACTTTAATTACATTCGATTGTTCTAAAATTCTGTCCAGCAGATGGTGGTATAAATTTAAATAACTAGTGGAAGGAATAAAGAATGTGTAACTATAATTAAAGAGCAGGCTCAGTTGTTATCTCTTAACTACACATATCTGGCCCCTCTATGTGGATCAGCAACTGCTTTAATCAAGTGAATCAGTAGCAGTTTTTCATGCTGTCATTTTGTTTCGTTTTTTTACTGCCTTGCCAACTTTTTCCCCTTCCTGGCTTGATACGGCACTACAAGAAGTTATACATTTCTGAATGGATGTCTTTTATCTAATATCTTCATGTCTTTATGGACAGTGTTCAAGTCATTTCATTTCCTGAAAAACATATAGTTCAACCGTCCTTTTGGGAACATATTATCTTATGTTAGGATTATGCCTTTGGATTTGAAGGCACAAAGGTTATTTGGAACCTGTAGGTTTGTATGTAGAGCGTTGGATTGCAGCTCCTGGAAGTAGTGCCTTTGGAAAAGCTGCACATGAATTGGTCATACTGTGATTCGAACCATCTACCTAACTATTTAGTTATAAATAAACATTGTTTATGGTAATGTAGTAATACTACTGGATCCAGGGATAGCCATCCTCATGTTTTTCAGGTGTTTGGATCACAGCATGGTTAATCACCAGTGAATTGGAAGTTGTTGTCCAGGTTACTTCTTGTATACAAGTTGTAGTGCTTTTTGAGTATAGGGGCTGGGTGTAAGATAAGGATTGGGGACACTACATTTCAAGTCTCTATTTTACTACAGTTAGTTCTTCTTTAGTGACTGTTCACAGTTAATCATGGTGAAGAAAACGTAACCTTGCGACCAGCCCTTGCATTTACAACCTTTGCAGGAAAACTGAACTCACATTTTCACTTAATGGCTACTTTAAGTAAACAACCGAGTTGCTGGTCCTAATTGTGATCATTAAATGAGGACTTCCTGTACAGGAAAAAAAATATTTCAGTGGTTTTGGGTCAATCACTATTTCTTAGGTTAAACTATTTTAGCAGGATTATTCTTTAGAAGAAAATGGTAGAAATATTGCAATTTAAAAATATAATGAATATATGCAACAAATAAATTGAACAGCTGTGAAAGGTATGTTTATCCCGTTGCAAAAATGGTGAGGGCTGGATTCAAATTTGAGTAAGTGGCTTGTTCTAGCTAGGCTTGGTTAACAAAGCAAAATATGAAACCATTGTTTTACCTTGCTTTAATTTCCTACGATTAAAACTAATTTCTAAACTAAAAGAGAAAGACCTTGCTCTCCTCATGCATAGAATAAAAAAAAGGGGGGAATACAAAAGCCTGAGGCTGAAGTGCTGAGTCTCTGAACTGCCTTTATTTATTCCCAACTAATGAATTAATCATTGTCAGCATGTTTAATTTTAAAATAATCAACAGGATTGTGTTTCGGAAAGATTTCAGTGTGTGTATATGAGTGTTTTGTTTTTACAATTCAGCAGGTTGTAGAGCTTCTTTACCAGTGGAAGCAGTATAATAGCTCTGTCTCTTTGATTAGTAGCAGCATGATCATTTCTGTATTTTAAAAAGAGAGGTCAGTTGAGTGTTTCTTTCAAAAAGTAATGCCATTTAACACTTTGGTAATGCATCTACTTTGAACATGATTGTTTGGAACTGAATCTCATTGCTTTGGATCTTTTTGCTTGTTTCTTTGAAGTGCAGGCAATATACATAATTGTTTTACTTCACTAGGCACTATTCTTTGATTGGTCTTCCTAGCTCCCGGGGGAAAGCCATATCATACACAGAATTGTTGCATTGTTGCAATTGTTATGTGAAATATTAAAGCACATTTTTTTAACTGACAGTGTCTCCTAAAAGACAAGACCTAAATTAGGAATTTTGAACAACTCTGGCACTTACATGTGGTGCAACTCTGTGCTTTTAAAGAGATTGTTCATATTTGTTGTTAATAATATATAGGTCATTTTTACTTTCAGAAGAAGGTCTTCTCGGTGGCATGGTCCAAATCTCAGAGATTACAACTTTGTCAGAACACTCACAGCCTCAAACTTTTTCTTCTTGGTGAGCTTTAGAATAGTTAGCTTCTGCTTTTATCATGAGGATTTTTCCTTGTTTATCGTATTTGTATTGTTCAACAAATTCAGCAAGTTATATTCTTTTATTTCTAGACAATAAGCTATTCTCCTAGAAAAGTGTTACCTCCTGATAGTCTTCCTGTCTGTTTTAATTTTCAGCTTCCCAGCTAACCCTATTTCTACATAATCCTATTGTTCTGTGAATTTTCCACTTATCATCCATTTATGCTTTAAAAAAAACATTTAAGTTGGCTGAGAAATCTGTTGTGTGTATAAGGTATTATGTATGACAGATTTTGCATATATAAAATAGAAAAGAATGCATGTTTGTGTATTAGATATGAGTGTGTCTGTATATGTGTGTGTGTGTATATATATATAGCGCACACACACACACACATTACACACACATGCATGAAATATGTAGTGAGTTTATTATTGTAGGTGGTATGGCAATAATGATGTTACAGAAATTGGAATAAAGTGAATCTCTACACCAGTGGTTCTCAACCTTTTTAATGCCGCGACCCCCAACCGGTCGTAAGTCGAGGACTAAACCGATCGTAAGTCGAGGACTAAACCAGTCGTAAGTTGAGGACTACCCAACCGGTCATAAGTCGAGGACTTTCCCTGCCCAGGAGTGCCGCGCATGCGTGGTTCTGCCCCCTGCGCCGGCCTAGGCGTAGTTGGCAAGCAGCAGAGACGGAGCAGGCCGACCACCAGCTGGCCCAGCTCAAGGGAGGTAAGGCATCCTCCGGAAAAGGGGAAAAAAATGGCGGACAGCCTTGCTTGGCGACCCCCGTGAAATGGTCGATCGACCCCAAATGGGGTCGTGACCCATAGGTTGAGAACCACTGCTCTACACCAACATTAATAGGTAAATAGGGGTGATTTATCAAAGGAGACAAAAATCTGCAGTCAAGCTCTGCTCAGGTGCAAAAGAAACACTAAATTCTTTTTTGCTGGTATGGGTTTGAACATTTTCATTCAAAAATTTGATTAGTGGAATAGACATGCTGTACTATTTCCCCCCTCTTTTGATAGCTTCTTTAAAGAATAGAATATTTAACCAGGTGGATCTTCTTTTTTATCAATAGAAAACATTATCAGAAGAATAAAATTCAGTACGTTGGCAAATCTCACAAGTTTTAAGACTTTTGCTGTTTTGTAACCTTGGTATTCCATGCCAGTACTTATTGCAGTTGCCATAGATTTTTGGAACAAGAGTGTGTTCAGCTTGGCTAAGGTGCAAAAGGCTATACCTTGCAATACAGAGCTACAGCGACTGAATTAATATAGCAACTCAGCTTTTAACAATTTTACTTTGAGAATGTTTTACTATATTTAATAAATATGGTAGCAAATGTTGCATCTTTTGAATTACAGGTAGTCCTCAACTTATGACCCCAATTGAGCCCCAGATTTCCATTGCTAAATGAGGCAGTTGTTAAATGAGTTGCACCTCGTTTTACAACCTTTTTGCCACAGTTGTTAAGTGAACCCTGTGGTCGCTAAGCAAATCTGACTTCCCGCATTGATTTGGTTTGTCGGAAGCTGGCTGGAAAGGTTGGTAATCACATGACCCCGGGATAGTTCAGCTGCCATAAATACATGCCAGTTGCCAAGTGGCTCAGTTTTGACCACATGTTTAATAGGGATGCTGCAACATTCGTAAATGTGAAATCCGGTCATAAATCACTTTTTCCAGTGTTGTTGTAACTTCGAACAGCCACTAAATAAATGGTTGTAAGTCAAAAACTATCTGTAATGTTGAGTCCTGGTGACTGACTGAACAATTTCCTACAGTTTTCTTGACGTATTTTTCAAAGTGGCTTACAGTACTAGGGCTAAGAGAGAGAAACTTGCTCATGCCTAAGACAGGGCCAGAACATATAATCTCCTGGTTTCTAAATTGGTGCCTTTAACATCTACACTGAACTAGCTGTCATACAGTAGTATACCCTGGTTATAATGTTGCTTAGAAAGAAAATACCCCAAAAGAGTTGTAGATGTGCAGTAATGAGCCGGTTCAACAGTGAATAATTATTCACCTGGTATAAATTGGACTAAAAGAGAAAATAAAAGAGATTATTTCCATGGTGCTGATTAGTAGGTATTGGAAAAGCAAAATATATTTTCTTTTGTCTTTGCACTATTTTTTAAAAAAGAAATGAGCCTTCTAGTCCAGAACTGAGATATCTGATGGGAACTGTATCTGGTCACTAATGTTGACTGTGGCTAGAATCCAGGGAGCTACTTAAGGCATGCCTAAGGGCTTGGGAATGCCAAGACTAATCTTTGTTTTTAGTAAACGTATTGTATCTAATACGTCTGTGTTAGATCTAAAATTTAAACTAAAAAAAATATCACTTTTAGGAGGGTTGTACCACATGGCAGAAGAGCATAGCTTCCTCAAAAGCGTAAAGCTCTATGATTCTTGAAATTCCAACCCACTTTTCCATATTCTTAGCTTTAAGATATAATGCAGAGTTTCCTAACCTTTCTGGCTTGACGACCCGGAAGGAAAGGGAACAGCAGGGGAATGTGTGCGCGTGCAGCCCATGCGCACATATGCAAATAGGTACGCGCATGATGGCGCTAGCATGCGTGCGCATGTGCAAACAGGCCACATACGCCCATGTCACATGCGTTGGGCACACATGCATGTGCAAATGGGTTGCTGGTGCCCGCATGATGCTGGCGGCGGTGCTAGCATCCCCACGCATGTGCAAATGGGGCCACTAGTGCCTGCGCAGCGGTGCTACCACAAGTAGAGCAGGGCTCACCAGCTATTCCCGGTGCCAACAGGCTGCAGCCCGATACCGGGCCACGGACCATAGGTTGGGGATCCCTGATATAATGCAATCATATCTGCGGA